TCCAATTGTAAGAGTGAAACACCACGATGTTCGAGTCGTCACTGCGGTTAATGCATCAAATAGCTACTGCATAAGTGACAAGTGAGTGTGTCGGCGACGATCGTTCCTCTGCTTACGGTCTTGTTTTCCCGCGTAATCTAGCGTAGGAGAAATTACCTGTGTGCGCGGCACTTTGAAAAGCCTATCAACACGATCGTTCTTCCATTAGCCTTGTTACCACCGGGAATGAGTCGAGGAACTCTCTCTCCCCCTCTCTTTCTCTCTCCCCGTTTCTCTCTCTCTCTCTTTCTCTCCTTCGACTCACGTCGTCGTAAGGTCAGCGAACGGGAAAGTCGCGGGAAATGAAGATTTTTCGAGAACGTTACATACAAATGAATTAACTCGCGAAATTACAGAAACCCAGCTGCACGTAACGCGACGTAATTTCGTAATGTGAACCTTTGCATTTCGATCCGGCAATTAATATTAATTAATATAACGTTGCGCGCGTACCCGCAAAAAGTGAGAGTTTGGGCCCTTCGGAACGTAAATCGCGCGTAAAACGCGTTCGAAGCAACTCGTATGACAATCAGATTTCTTGAAACATACGTGTGGCAGCTTCGAGGGAGGAGACAACGAATACAGGCGAGTCGATAATTTTCTCTTCCATCATCTCCATCACGTAACGCTCTCGGGAAAGATAGTTGCTATCGATCAATTACGTGCTCGATGCGCTAGCCGCCTGCGCTCGTAAAATGGGCTTTTACCGTGTCCAACTTTCCTTCGGGATATATAAAAGATCCAAGTAAGAGTACCTGTTAAAGGTCGACTATAAATAAATCGAAAATATGACAAGCATAACTACGTGACAAGAATCGATCGTTCGTGAAGGTCGCGCATTGGAATCGTGCGTCTCATCAGCTTTATCAAGTTTCATTTCTTCATCAAAGAATATCCTTGTGTACCAAAGGATATTTTGCGTGTGATACTTTTACATAAGTCTCGAAGGAACAAAAATCGAGCGAGGCAAATCCAAAATACGATAAATCAATTTAAAAAACACAATTGATTCGACTTTTTATTGCAAAGTTATTATCGACGATCGTCATCAATATGATCGAAATATCTGATTAATTTATTACAATTTTCTAATTATTGCGACACACTGTGGGATTTAAACCAGTAAATTCAAGAGTTGATGAGATTCGATAAGCTCTTCGAATTAGCTTGTCTTCGATTTGGTCAGATCCCGCGGCCGTATTACGCGCGAGAAGTCCATTTCGCGGTCGTAGTCTGATTGTAGCTCGGGGAAATCGTTGTAAACAGAGCCTAAATGGCGATTTGAGCCAGGGCATAAAAGGCCCCGCATAACGACGTACTCAGGGCGTACCGTAATCTTCTTTTGCGCCGCCACGTTTGCGTTCAGCGGTTGCGCCGCGCGCTAATCTTTACGGCGACTCGACCGGCCGTCGACTTACTTAACGATCGACTTCGCGTCCTCGGACGATCGCGCATATCGTTTTCGAACTCGTCTCACGAAGATAACCCGTTTTCCACACCTGTACCTGTTTGCCGTATCTCACAGCAGACCTGTCTGATAATTATAGAAAATGACAGTCGATCTCGCAATGCATGCACGTA